AAAAAATGGTAGAAGTGATAGCTATTTCGGAAATCACCACATTTCCTCATCAGACTTCTTTCAGTAGGATTCGAACCGACGATCCCACTGACTCAGCCAGTTGCCTATGCACCGTGCTAAGACGCCTTGTAAATTATCGTTTTGCTTATTTCCACTATTTCACTTGTTAAGCCGCCAACACAATCAAGCGCAGCTATTCCGCTGCAATTCACTTGATCATGTGGTTGTTGGTTTTGTTGGTTTTTCCTTCACCGGTTTCCCGATCAGAATGAAATTTAGTACACTTACTACGGATTTCGGAAAGATGGTCTTAGACTGAAAGTAAGTCCGATAACTCAAGGCCCCTCCCATACAAATTGGAACTTTCATATTGCATACATAACTCTGGTAGTATTTGTGGGAGAGAACTGAAACTTGGTATAGTGATATGTATGTGAAATCAATGATGGCATTAATCGATTGATGTTTTAATCAGTTAGTTAATTCGATTAAATTCAATCTGATTACAGTTAATCATGATTCATTTTAATCTGACTAAACAGTTAATCGTAACCGCGATTAAAAAATTAATTTTTAATCATTAACTCTTAATTTGATCAAGTAGGTTTGGTGATTAATTAAGTTATGCTGGAATTTCCCTGTGCACACAAAGCAAGTTAATCCGGTATGGCTAAGTCGGGCTTCCTCATCAATCTAAGCAATTTGGTGTGCATTTTCATTAAGATATATACCAACAAACGTTTTACAAACTAGGTTTGTAAAAGTTCCCGATTTATATATTACTAATAACAATAATTATAATTTTTTTATATTATGTGCTTTTTATAAGCGTAAAACACAAAATAATTACTATAACTGGTGTTTGGTTTCAAACTCGGACAAACTAGACAAATTAATCAGACTTTATTTTTAATTGGATTAACGATTTATGTTTTAAATTAATGAAACGTAATCGCAGCCAGCGATTAACGATTAAAAAAATGTTATCATTAATCGTACAGTTGATTACGACTAATTAA